CGAAGACATTTCAAGCGGCAACGAAGGGCCAGCCAGTGAGGGGGAAGGACTTCCTTACCCCACCTCCCAGAATAGATCAGCTTCCCATTACATGTTCCCACGGCTCCATACTTCCCCTCTGTAACCATGGTCACCTCAGTTAAGGTGTGTGACGTCTGCAGCCCTCAGCAGGCTGTCCCCTCCATCAGGCAGCTCAGTCATTGCTGCTCCCCGAGTGCCAAAGGCAGTGCTTCGTTCGACAAATGTTTGTTGAAGGAATAACCACTGCCTGCTTCTTTTACTCTCTTTGAGCAAAATGGAGCCTGGTGGTCCTGGCCTTGGAAAGGGGCAGGTTTCTGTTTGCCCTTCATCCTCAGAGGGGTAGACTTTTTGGAACAGAGCTGTTGAATCCACCCTTCTGAACTCTGCAGCCTCAGTCCCCTCCTCCCGCACTCCAGGTGTCCTATTCACTGTTAAATAAACCAACCTTAACTGGTCCCGGTCTCCTCTGACTTCTGCCCCAAATCGTTGGCACTCAGGTGCCTTGGAGTGATTTACCTTTCAGGGCCCCTCACCTCCCTCTCTCATTGACCCCAGGCTTCCTCCCAGATAGTTCCTCCAAAATCACTCCCCAGATCCACTGTCTCGCTCAGTTCCCCCCCTCCACCTCTCCTTGGCATCTGGGATCACTGGTGACCTCCCCTGGGAACACTCCAGCCATCCCCCTCCTCCTCATCTCCCTCCTGCCTCGGAGACATGGTCTTCCCTCCCTCGGGCCGTGACCCAGGGAGTCAATGCAGATGCAGCCTGCCTACCCTAAGTCCAGTCCTGCGGATCTAGTTCTGTCCAGCTCAGTGAGGCAGGATGAAACACCTCTTCCAGGCGGAGCCCACCGGAGCCTGGCGGCAGACTGTCTAGAAGAGCAGTGAAGCCTGGAGGGCTGAGGGAGGTGGTGAAGACTTGTGCCTTGGGCTTCTCTCCCACCCGAGGGTCCCCTGGCCTCAGTCCCCAGCCCTGCCCCAACTCCTTGCCAGTTTATAACTAAGAGAGGTCATCTTTTGCCCCATCCCCTTCCCCAGCTGCAGGTGACAAACTGGTGGTTCACACACAATTGCTTTGGCCTGCCATACTTTTTTTTTAAGTTTCAATTAGTTGCTATCATTTAAAAATTAACCAATTTCACTTAAGAATCCAGATTTCTAGTCTCTTTTGAAAAATCAGAAGATCTGGCAACACCAGGCCCACATTCCTGCCCAGTGACCACCAGCTAGAGCTGGTCTCACTGCTCCCTTCCGTTGGGGCTGGCATGCTGGTCTCTGCAGTTTTAACTCTCCCGATGGCCCCGGCCACCCATGTCAGCAGCCTGGCTTCTAAACTGTATCTCAGCATGAGGCGGTCCAGGGGAAGGAACAAAAGCCCGCAGATCTCAGCACATGAAGGAGGGCAGGGCTGGGTGAGCAGGAAGGCAGGTCGGAGGGTCCCAGTTGGGAGCCACAGCCCAGCTGCTCCCCATCACTGTTTATTGCTAGCAGCGTTGCAGGTACCCTGTGTGTGTCCTGTCCTGGCTCAAGCCTGCCTTGGGGGCGGGGCTGCTGCAAACACGTGGCTTGCTGTCCGCTACTTCAGGCCACGCCACGTCCTACTGGAGCTGGGCCTGAAGCTTGAGGCTTTGTCCTGGGCCTGAGGAACAGTGTGGCCTGTAGGCACAGGCTTCCTTACTGTCCAGCCACCTCAGCCAAATGTACACCAGGGGGTGGCAGCCTTGTCACAGTCCAACATGATGTTGAGAACAGTGCAGGGGGCCCCACCCACGGACAGGGCCGTACGGGAGTCCACATGGTACTTCACGGTGCTCAGGCCTCCCTCCCGGTCCACCTTGAACTGCTCCTGGGAAGGGAAGGGAGAGAGAGCATGTACTCAGGGCTTTGTGGGTGCCAGCTGTCCACTGATGCCCCACGACCTCGTCATCAGAGGTCCTGTGAGCCCCACTGAAGAGACAGGGAAGTGAGGCTCAGAGACGTGAAGTCTCTTGCCCATGGCTGCACCCCCGAGTCAGCGGGAAAGCAGGGATTTTCCAGTTGAATTAATTTGGCTGCCGGAGAAGAAGCTGTTTGAGGGGTGGGGACTCCTGTGTCACAGGTCTGCCTAGGATTCTGGTCCCATCTCCAACTCCCACACACACACCTCGTCTGCATGGACTCCTAGGTCTCAGCTGACCCACGGTATCCAAGGGCCACGGCAGCCACCAGAGGAGGGTGTGGTGCCCAAGCAGAATGCCCACAGGCTGACCCGCACCAAACAGGAGAGGATGGGGCCACTTGGTGAAATGTCTGGGCCCGTAGGTTCCCCACATACCACCTGTCCGTCAAAGGACCGGCCAGCACCTGTTTCTGAGCCGCGATGCGCTTCTGGTCCCTCTTCCTCCAGGCTGGGTCATGCAGGTGGCGAAATGTCTTGTACCCGGTTGTGATTCCCGAGGGGCGGAAAAGCTAAGGGAGCCAAAGGAAGTTGGGTCAGGCTGCCTCCCCTGGAGCCCCGGCCCTCACCACTAGCCCTCTGTGGTGCCACTACCTGCAGGGCCCACAGGCAGGGGCCTGCACCCCCAGTCTGCAGGAGAGGTGTGCCAGTCGGGGTCAGGGCTGGGGTCAGAACCAGGGCTGCTGTCTCCCAACCCCAGGAACTTCATTTGGAGACAGAGAGAAGAACCTCGGTGCAGTCATGACGGTCGAGGAGGTGCGGGGTGGCGGGGAGTGTTACCTGGAGCCCCGCTCCTTTGATGCGCCGGTAGAACTCGTCGTCCTCGCGGCCCCAGCCCCAGAAGCGGTTGGACATCCCGTTACACTGACACAGAGACAGGCAGCGTCACTTGCCCCCTCCTCCCAGGGGTGCTCCTTGGTCTCCTACCACTCAGGAGTCCCCAGCACAAGCCGGCCTGGGCCAGGCCCCCTTTCCTCCTCCTCCTCCCTGGCAGTTCTGAATGGACACTCAGATGCTTACAGCTCCTACCACCTCTGTGGTACTGGCAGAAGTCAGCACGCCCCAGTCCCTCCAGCTGTTATAATGGGGCCTTGAACTTGTGTGAGGTGATTAGTTTCTCATAAATGTCTGACTGGCGGGGAGGGGACCTCTGGAGAGCTGAAGACGGGCAGAAGTGCCAGCTCCTGCTCTGTTTCTCCCTGGCCCCATGCTCCCCCTTCTGCCAGCAGGGCTCTGCCCTGGTCTCTCCCTTTCTGTGGGAGAGGGACAGTGGGCTCTAGGGCAGACACCCATTTTTACCACCGGACTTCAGGCTTCATTTACATTAGCTGGCTCCAGCCACAGCTTGAAGAGAGGAGCAGGAGGTGAGGGTCTAAGCCACTCAGTTCTTCCTACCCCCACCCTCTGCCATAGTGACTGATTCAGGGAGGGACCCGTGACGCAAGTCAAGCCAATCAAGAGGCAGAATGGACCAGCTGTGGGCCCCCTGTCTAGGCTGTTGGGAAGGGGGCTCCACCTTCCACTAGGCTTGAGCCTCGACGGATGCAGGTTGCAGCTACAACCGTCACCTTGCATCCTGAATGTCTGGAGACAAATCCAGTCTAGAGATGGCGGAGCTGAGAGATGGAAGGTGAGCTGGTGTCCTGGTGACACCACCTGAGAGGCTGGGCAAGACAAATCTGAAGCCAGACCCTCTCTCCAGTCCCGCCCAGACTTTTCCACTTTGCGAGCCAACAAACCCCGGGTCTTCTGAAGCCGCTGGCGCAGGGGTCGTTACTGTGGCAGAGTCCTCCCTCACTGGCTTGTTCGGTCCTGCCCTCTCCTGTCTCTGGCTGCTCCTGGGCCCCCCTGCTGGCCCCGGGCAGGGCTCCTCCGTCTGCCGGGCCCTGGCACTGCTGCTCCTCTGGCCCCTGCCCCCACCCAGGCGGGTGCTCCCTGGCTCTGAGCAGGGCAGGCAGGCCGGGCCTCACCAGCTGGTAGTGCTGCTTGGAGAGCAGCAGGATGCCACCGACGTAGGTCTTATAGTGGTAGAGTGGGTGGAGCTCCGGGGAGGCCACGTGGAAGGGCCCGGCCTCGGGGAAGCCATAGTCCAGTTCCTCGTTGAGAGGAAGCAGGTCCACGTCATGCATAGCGATGTAGTCCGTGCTGTTGCCGCTCTCCAGGAAGCCCGCATTGATGAGCGCCGCCCGGTTGAACCTGCGCAGGGCGCCGAGGCTGGGCAGGGGGCGGCGAGCTCGCTCTCCCCCAGTCTCCATGGGAGAGCTGCCCTCCACCTCACCCGCCCTTGGGGCCGTGCTGCCCTCCAGCCCAACACCGACTTCACTGTGGGGCTGCCTGGCTGCACATCTGCCCCTCCACTCATCTCAAATGTTTACTGTGCACCTGCTGTGTGCCAGGAACTGTTCAGAGCACTGGAGATACAGCAGTGAGAAATCAGAGCCATGCCCTCACAAAAAGGAAGAAATAAGTAGACATGGAACAAGCCAGGGAGTGGTAAGCACTGCGAAAAACAGTAAAGCAGGATGAGGAAGATCAAGCACACTGGGTGGGAGTGGCCAGTTGTTCTTTAGGAGAAAGTGGGAGGGAGCTGCGGTGTATGTGAAGGTGTGACTTTCACGATGGACCATGGAATCCAAGATTCGTCAGTAGAAAGTGAGGACCAGGAGGGTGGGTGGTGAACACTGGGAGCATGGTGGACTAAAGGACCTGGTGGGGTCCAAGAACTGCTGGAGTCTGTCTACCAGCAGGAGTGAGTTGGAGGGAAAGGAGGTCGGGGTGGAGTGTGAGATGCTTGGATCGTGGGGAGCAGTCTCTGATGAGGACAAGGATTTGGGGATAATGCCAGACTGTGAGCAACTTTAAAGCCCTGGCCCTGACCCTCCCTTCCCCTAATCCCCACCGCCAATCCACCACTGAGCCCTGTCTGTGCTTGCCCCACATCACCTCTCTCCACCCCTCTGCCACGCTGGCCAAGCTCCTGTCAGCTCAGGTGACTCCAATGACCACCCACCAGATCACCCCAGTCCCCTCCTTGTCCTGGTATGATCTAGTGCACACAGCAGCCACAGGAAACTTTGTAAAATGGAAACCAGATCAGGGGCCTCCCCAGCCACAAACCCTCCCCCTAAATTCCTGTCATGTCCAGTGAGAGGGGACTAGCGCCTCCCATCCTCCTGCTGGGGCCCCGGCTGGCCTTTCGCAGGCTTGGGCCCACCTGACATTGGACGTCGGTAGGAAAAGGGAGCAGGCCTGAGAGGCGGGGCAAGGTGAGGCCCAGGCGCGAGGGTGCTGGCTCAGGAGGCGGTCCCCACCTGAAATGGTCCACCTGGTTGAGCACATAGATATGGTGCTGGATCTTCTTCCTGCTCAGGAAGCGGTGCATGTGCGGCACAAAGACCAGGAGCTCCTCGAAGCGTTCTCGGAAGGGCACCAGCACTGCCAGGCGGTGGGGGCCCCAGGACTCATCTTCTTCCCAATGCTCGGGGGGTGGCTCTGGCGGGCAGGCCCGCGATGGGCCCGGGCTCTCCTGCCCTTGTCCCCTGGCCGCCCGGGCCACGTCCCCAGAGCAGCTGAGCTGCAGCCAGAGCAGGGAGAGGAAGCCCAGTAAGAGACAGGCGACGAAGAGATGGAAGACGGAGCATTTCCGGGGTAGGCTGCTGGGGATCAACCTGGACCTGGGACAAGGACAGGGACCAGGTGAGAAGGGCAAAGCTGAGCTGAGGTCCTGGGACCCCTTCTCTGGCTTCCCCAAGTAAAGCACACATGACTGTTCTGCCCCAAGCGCCCGGGAATTAGTGCAGAAGCAACTTCAGTGCTTTTGTTCATGCTGCTACCGTTCATGAGAATCCTGCTTGCAGCTCTAGGCTCAGCCTGTGCCACCACCTCCAGGAGGCCCTCCAACCACTCCCAGGTCTCGGAGCTGCCCCAGTTCCTCAATGCTCTCTTACTTTCTGTGCCTGAGTCCTGGCCAGACCAAGAGCTGCTCGAGGGCAGGGACGAGACTCCTAGTCCCCTGCACTTGCCCCCTGCCAGGAAAATGGCTCATGTCCTGAGCTGATGTCAGGAGATCTGCCTTAGAGATTCCACCCGTTGCCTTCCACCTGCTCCCCTGCAGGTTCACCTTCAACAGAAACCTTGGCTTCATCCTGCTTCTCAGACCAGAAAACTCCCCAAGACAGGGGCTTGTGTTGGCATCAAGCCCCAGTGAAAAGACCACTGTTAACTCTGGGAAAATTAGGTCTGTTCCCAAACCAATGCAAGGCTCAAACTGACAGTGGCAGTTCACTGAATGCATCTCAAAACTTCAATGCAAGAGGCAGCTCACATGACAAGAGACAAGAGACAGAAGAGGGAAAGAAAGATGAGGGCTGGGAACAGCGCCCAGGCTCATTTCAGAAACCAGAAAACCAGCAGAGTATCTTAGACTTTGGGGTAGTTCTGGGAGAGACTGCCCTTTAGGTTATAAGGCACAAAGAAATGGGTGGAATTCACCTGATTTCTTTGCCCCCCTCCCCAGAAGTTCCTAAGGATAGTGAAGGAGGAATGGAGGAATCCAAGAAGAGGGAAGCCTCTTCTATTCTGAAATTACCTGGAAAGCAACCTACTTTATAACCTCTGAGAGTCACCAATTAGCTACCAGGTCATATAGATCCTACCTTCTAAGTGCTCTTTGGTCCTTCCTCACCCACTGCCTCTCTTCTAGCTCAAGTCTCTTCTGGTCCTTGGCCTAACAGTCAGACCCCTCTGTGACCTGGCCCCATCTCCAGCTGCTCCCTGCTACTCACCCAGTGCTACACATGGGCAACCCAGACCTTCTCCACTTCCCCGTTCCTTCTTGCTCCAGCCCTCACACAGCCTGCTGCTTCTGCCTAAAATGCCTTTCCTTATTTTATCTTCCTGGAGGCGCCCCGCTGATCCTTCAGGGTCAAGTTCCAATGTCATGGCCAGCATCACCACCCCGCTTCCCCCATCACATGTACACAACCCGAGATATATACTCCCTGCTTCGTGTGCCCATGGGATCTGGTACTGCCCTCTTTGAAGCACTTAGCATTTTGTAATCACCTGCGTCCCTGCTTGTCTTCCCCATAGGTAATCAGATTCATATCTGTGGCCCCAGCACAAGTCACACAGCAAAGGCTTGCTAAGTGAGTTACAGAAAGGGCTTAAGCATTCAGGGCATGCTTGTCACACACTAGAGCCAAACCAACTCCTGCCTCTCTCTAGAGGCACAACTGCCTATCTGGAAGCTGGCAACCCTGAAGCCAGACTCAGCCCCACACACAGCAGAGAGGGGGCCACATACGTGCAGAGCTTCTGACTTACCCCCCATTATCCTGTGGTGGGGGTTTCCGCTGGGGAGGAGCAGAGGCCGATACTGCCAGTGGCCTAGGAAGGCTGGGACCTCTACAGATTCTCCCTCTGGGCTCTTTCTGGGGGCAGGGTAGAGACTGGGAAGATGGACATGGGGAAACATCCCACCTTTGGGGGAAGAAGCAGTGACCATTATCCAGGGGTATGGCATGGGCTGGGCATTCCACGCACTTTCAAATGATGTCCCCTCAATCTAGCCTTCCCCCCTAGCAGGATCACCTCCCCATGGGCACTCTCTTCCTGTGCTGTTAGGGCTCAACCTACTGAACAATTGAATTCAGAGCTGAGTCCCAATTCCTCAGGACACTGGAGGCTGAAAACAGTTGCTCCTGGTGCCACCTGGTGGCAAACTCCAGATCTGCAGTCTCAGCTGCTCCCAGGCCCAGGCCACCTTGGTTCTGGGGAGCAGAGGCAGACCAGAAGAGGTTTTGTCTCCTTTATAAATCTGCGCCCAAGGCTGGTGAGAGGTAGATTCAAACCCAGACAGGCTGATTCCAGAGCCAGCCCTCTTAATCGCTACATGAGTGAGCCAGCATCTGTTGCATGGATCTTTGTATCCCTGCGTCAAAAGCATGTATTGACATCAGTCAAGTTTTCTGGGAGCACGGTTGTGTTCCAGAAGTTTATGGAAAGGAATTAGGAAATGGAAAATTCTCCTCCATCACCTTTCCTTTCTTCTCTCAAATAAACCTTAGTGGTTCGAATACTCGGCTGCTCTGATTACAGCACCTCCAAACTGTAAAATTAACTGGAAGACGACAGGCACCTCCTCTGCCAAGCACAGCATCAAGAGTTTTACATATATGACCCCCTTTCATTCTCATACAGACCTGCGAAGTAGATTTTATGATCCCCTGTCTCAGAGATGGAAAAGCTGAGGTCAGAAAGATTAAGTAATCTATTTCTGGTCTCATAGCTACTAAAGAGGATTCCTGTCCAGGCCTAAGTCCACAGTCCAGGCTTTCTGTTATATTCGTCTTACTTCAACACCAAGTCTGAAAAACTCCCAAAGATAAAGAGTTGTGCCCACTCTATTTCAAAGTCTTTCGACACCTAGCAAACTTAAGTGAATGAGGTGTTACTCACTAGGCAGCGATCCACTATCATATATTCTGGGTGAGGAAGAGTTCTGGGAGCACATCTCAAGACTGAAGTGTGGGTGTCATCCCAAATTTAAAAGGCCAAATAGTTCCTTTCGGCCCCCCATTCTGCTTTAGCGGTAATCACGTGCTAAGGTGTGGGTCAAGCTCACACCTAACTCCTGGAGCAGGCCCCACTAAAGTGCAGCTGCACGGGAAATGAACTAATGTTAGGTCTGAGAAGTGTTTAGTCCCGGCCAGGCAGCGGCCAGCCAGGCAGAGTATAGAGCTTCTGTCTGGGCTGTTCTTCTGGGTGGTCAGCAAAGAATGGGGAAGCCTGAAGGAGGGAGGGTAGAGTCTAAGGCTACATGGATGTGATGAGGGAGGCACAGACCAGAGAAATGGAATAAAGACCCTCTGACACCAGACACAGACAGAAAGACAGATTCACTGTGAGAGGTCAGTGGAGTCGGAGACCCGCAAGAAGACAGACGTCAGTGGAAAAACACAGAAAGAACCATGAGAGAGGGACAGAAACTCACAAAGGTAAGTCAACGGAAAACACACACCCCTGAGTGACGGAGACCTGCGGAGTAAAGGAGACTGGTAGAGACAGAGACCCACATAGAGACAGAGACCCAAATACAGAGAGAGTCAGTGACCCACAAGGAGAACCACAGACCCTACAGAAACCCGCAGAGACGGAGAAGCGACGGCCTCGGGCTCCTAGATTCCACGGGGCGGCCCGGAAAGGATCGGCACCCGGGAGGACGGGGCCCGGGCCGGCCACCGCCGCTC